CCTCTTGGAGGGCCTTCTTTTCCTTGGTCAGCTTTGCGATGTTTTCATCCAGGCCTGCCATCTCTTCTGTGAGGTTTTTCACCTGCAGAAGTTAAGAAAGAGATTATTTCTCCTAGAAAACAACTTGGTGGCAGAACCCCTATATAGTATTGTAGAATATGGTTCAAACCTTGTTCTCTGTGGCATGTTTCTCCTTCTCAACCTTGGCCAGTGTCAGCTCAAGGTCATCAATGTCTTTCTTGAGTTCTGCACATTCATCCTCCAGTTTCCTCTTCTTGGCTGTCAATTCAGCATTGATCTCTTCCTCTTCCTCAGCTCTCTCAGTCGCCTCCTTGATTTTGGCCTCGAGCTGGATTTTGTTTTTAATCAGTTGCTCACACCTTTCCTCTGCATCAGCCAAGCTATCTGCTTCCTGTGAAGAGATTTATTCAGATATTTAGAGTTTGTTTCTTATTTTGAAAATCATTTTCATGCAAAAATAATGGTGTTTTCCTGAATTCTGTTAAATTTGTCAGTATGAATGTAAGTTCCACTAAACTGAACATTGTTACATGGCCTGGTGAAATGCAGCTAATTAGAAGTGAGACTGTGACTTTAGAAACAAACTAGTTTGCAAAATGATTGAGTTTGAGTCATTGAACTATTTAAAAAATAGTGTGTAGAAGTGTGGAAAGACCAAAGGGATGCCTGGGTTCTTGCCCAGGATTGCCTCCATTTGTATGGCCTTGGGCAAATTGCTTTATTCCTATTATTCTCAGTTTTTTCATTTGTAAATAAGAGGGTTGGAATAGATGATTGCTGAGAGCTTTTCAACTGTAATATTTAAAGATTATGATTTAGTTAAATTGGTTAGTTTTTTTCCCCACTCTGTATCCTCCTCAAGCAACTAATTGCTAGATTGAGTTAAAAAAAGAAAAAGAAGAAAAATTTAAATACATTTCCACGCAGAATTCTTTTACACTAAAACCTTCCTGATAGCCCATAATAGTGCTATAATTTCCCACAATTTACATTTCCATTTAAATAATTAACTATTAGTCTCAAAATGAACTTTATCTTTTGAAACTTTTACCCCAGTTTTTTATTTTGAAAAGTGTTAAACCTACAGAATAGCTGTATGAATAGTACAGTAAATTGCCATATACCATTTACCTAAATCTTCAAGTTGTAGACATTTTATCTTACTTGTTTTTTCCTCTCTAAACACACACACACTTCCCCCGCAATCATTTGAAAGTAAATGGCAGATATGATATTTCAGCATTTCTCTGGTAGGAACGTGAACATTCTCCTACAATACCATCATTACAAGTAAAGATATTGTCATTGATACAATAATATTTTCTAATATACAGTCTACAGATTTCTCTAGTGTCCCAAAAATGTTCTGTATAACTTTTGTTGGTTTTGTTTTATTTTTATATGTAATACAAGCAGTAGGCCTAAACTGTATCATAATTCTCAGAAAGTTGTAGAGTTGACCAGGCTAGAGATTCTTTTGCTTAGAACAGTTCTACTGAAGGAAAAGTTGATGAGCTGTTCTTAGTTAGCCCTTCCTGTTTTTATGTTTTTGTTTGCTTTTGCTTTTATTTTCCTGTTCACTTTCTAATCCTGGTCGATATGGAAAACCTATGTTGAACCTCATAAAGTTTGACAAATTTCAAACCCATATAACAAGTTAGAAAAAAAAGAGAATGAACAATGATAATCATGAAACTAGATTCACCAGTTGTTAATATTCTGCCATATTTGCTTTATCAGGCTTTCTCCTCTCCCCCCATAATTATCAAAACAAATTTTAGACTATATGAGAACATAGAATTCTGAGAAACAGTAAAGTTTTTATAGTTGACTAATTAAAGGACTCAAATAAAAATCAGTCTAACTTATTAGATTACTTTGGCCTGGGGAATTTTTTAACTTCCCAGTGTTTGTTTTGTTTTTAAGTGTTTAAAAATGTTTAAGTGGAATATAATGGGGACTTCCTAGGCTTCCTCTGCTTTTCTTTCTTTTTTTTTTTTTTCTTCTTCAGTTTTACTGCTTAATGCTTTTATTTTTAATGGTGATACACTTAATACATATTCACTCATTGATGATAACTATGAAAACAGGTGGTCCCATGCTTTTGGAAAAATGTAACCTTCAGATAAGTGAAGCTATCAGAAGGAAAAATTGAAAATGGCTAAAAAATTTAGGAAAACTGTCCCTTTTCACAGGTTACTTTATGATATTGTTAAGCCTATTGAACAAAGAAAGTGGCAGGTTCTGTTGGGCCAGGACGCTGTCACTAAACTTACTCCCTGCCCTGATTACCACTCCTTTCTGAGCTATAAACAGAGGCCTGAAGAACTCAAGATTTGTGTCAAAAGAAGAATCAGGGAGAAACACATGGCTCTACCTCACATGTTGTTATTTTACTGAGCTCAATCTTGGAGGTTGGTGCAGGGAGATACAGAGAGAAATAAGAGTAACTGTCATTCTTGAATTTAAGTACAATCTCATAGACTTGCTTTTAGAAGAGAGGACTATACTTTTAAAGCTGGAATGAAGCAGCCAAGGCAAAAGAGTAAAATATCTGACTGAGATTTGGAGGCTTGGCTTTAAACTGCTTCTTCATAGCTGTTAAATTTTGTGATATCATTGAATAAATTATTCAGTCTTTCCTTTTCCCTTCATAACTTGGAAGTAATTGTGCCTTCCTCACAGAATATTGAAAGATAATTAAATACTAAAAAAGGCAACTTGAGTTTTTTTGTTTTTTTTTTTAAGATAAGGCCATTTGTAAATCCAAAGTATGTACATATTCAGAAAAACTTCAGTAACATGGTGCATTCAGAATATAGAGTACTTACAGATTGAACCTGGAGTTGCAGATCATTTTTCTCTTTTAAGAGAGAGACCATTTTTTCCTCCAATTCCTTCCTTTTTGCCTCTGACTTGGCAAGTTCATCTTTGGTTTTCTGGAACTCCTCCTTCATGGTGGCCATCTCTTTCTCTGTCTCTGCACTCTTAAGGAGAGGCTTGATCTTGAAGAAAAGTTTCATCCAGGGCCAGTGCTTGACATTCATGAAGGCACGGACATTATACTGGATGCAGAAAAGGGCTTCTCTGCAATGACATAAAAATGTCAGTGTAGATTGATCTCTTAGAGGCAATGCTATTATTATTTATTATACACAAACTCCCCTTTTAATGAATGCTCCCCACATATAAATGATATGTCAAATTCTGTACGTATCGTGCACATGTACACACCCACATCTACATACACGCACACATACACAGTCTCACATACTCAGTAGTCCTCAATATAACCACTTTGCTAATGTAAGTAACGTTCATATCAAGCAAATATGTGTTCTCAATCTCTGTCAAACTAGCAACGAAGCTGATGTTAGAGGGTAAATACTGTGACTGTATGAACAACATGTACCATTTGACATATTACAGTATTGATGATTTGAGAGTGAGCATGGCAATTGTAAGCTGATTATGCTGCTTTGCTGTTGGCAGATGGATATGAACTGTGAAATGGCATAAGTTGTTTTCTGTATTGCCCCACCCAAACTGAGTTTATGACTCTTCATATCTTCCTTGAAGCCACTCCTCTTATTCTGAACACCACTGAATTATCCACTCTATAAACTTCTTTTGTTACCTTCTTCAAATAATATACTGGGTTGTCTTAAATTCTTTCAGTTGCCTGAGTCTTACTCGCTTAATTAGATTGTTAATATTCACAGGTCATTTGGCATGGGTTGATCTCCAAAATTTGTGTTTTTTTTTGAGATAGAGTCTCACTTTGTTGTCTGGGCTAGAGTGCCGTGGTGTCAGCACTCACAGCAACCTCAAACTCCTAGGCTCAAGCGATCCTACTGCCTCAGCCTCCCAAGTACCTGGGATTATAGGCATGTGCCACCATGCCTGGCTAATTTTTTCTATATATTTTTAGTTGTCCAGCTAATTTCTTTCTATTTTTTTAGTAGAGACGGAGTCTTGCTCTTGCTCAGGCTGGTCTCGAACTCCTGAGCTCAAATGATCCACCGCCTTGGCCTTCCAGAGTGCTAGGATTACAGGTGTGAGCCACCATTCCCAACTTCCAAAATTTGTTTTATTTAAATAAACTTGAAAAATAGTGATAAAAGATACCCCTTCTGCAGACTATAGCCATAGACTGGCTAGGTTTGACTACCTTATAGTAATGTATATGTCTCTTCAAGCTTGTTAAACTAGAAATCCTGTTTCTATCAGTTCAGTTTTTACGACCTGTAACTGCAAAGGCAGATACCATGACACAAACCATAATGCAGACAAATGGAAGAGACTCAGGAACACTTATAGTGTAGACCTGAATTAGTACAGATATGTAAAATGAATGTGCAGTGTGTGTGTAAGGAGAGGCAATGCAGTAGTGCTGGGGAGGTAAGCTGGATGGGGTTAATTACAGAAAGGAGAAATGGAAGTTTTAAATTGTTAAATAGATAAATTAGGATGCAGGAAGGGGGCTTGTCAAACATGAGAATAGGAGATAAGCAAATTGTTTATCCTGGCTGGAGAAGGCTGTGTGGTTGGAAATGATAGATGAGGCGGGGAATAGAGAGGGCCTTGATAGCCAAGCAAGGCAACTGGCATGATGACAATAGTGCTCACGGCAGACTGTTACTGCAGCTATATGGGAGATGGTTGGAAAGGGAGAAATTGCAGGCAGGAGAGAAGTTTTGGAGAGAATCCAAGTTTGTGGCCTGAAGCAAAGGGCTGATGTCTTGTGGTGGTGAGTTCTGAACTGGGTGAGAGACACATATTACCCACAAAATAAAAGAATTAATGAATAAGGAAGGCTAATAGATAGTCCCTAAGGGATCTAATAATCCTGATATTCTGTGTGGTTGTTACCTCCTTTGCAACATCTTCTGATATTCTACCCTCATTAGGAAACCCCTGCAGACTGCTTGCGTTCTTGTTATAATCTGGGCCAACTTTTCATCTCTCATTTCTTCCAGAAGACCCAAAAGTCCAGCTTTGAAGAAAACCTGGCAAAAGGAAGAGTCACATATCATCCCCATACTACAGTAGACACAGAAATGGCAGAAGATACTTGGATCAGGTATAAACAAATAACAGCTATACCTTGGTATGTCCAAATTTATATTGGGTATGATCAATATCAATAGAGGCAAGAAGTTTCTCAGAAGCCTTCTTACTGTCAATGAACTGTCCTTCTGGAATAGCACTTGCATTTAAAACCTTGTATCTGCTCAGTTAAACAAAGAAAGAATGGTTAGGAAAATGTAATCACATGCAAACCAAATGACACCAAAACAAAAGATCAATAAACATATGAGAGCAAAAGTAAAAGTAGAAAATCCAACTGTCCTATAAAGTCAGATAGTAAAACAATGACTTTCTGTTGCGTGTCACCTTCCTGTTAATCTTTTAACCTGTTATTCTGTCCTACTACCATAGGACTAACTATTGGACTTCTTAATTTTATAATATATACTAAGAAGGGTGCCTGACATCTCTGCTGAATCAAAAAAACTTAAAAAAAAATATGCCAAGAAGGATATATGCAATACAATGAACAGAAGACAAAGATTAAGGTGGTAAAATATTCTCAGCATTCAGTGAAATATAACAAAGAGGACTGACCTTTGTTTAAAATCCCCATATAAGATTCTGCTTGGGAATCCTTTCCTACAGATGCGGATGCCTTCCAGCACACCGTTACACCTCAGCTGGTGCAGGACAAGTTCATGTTCCATTGCCCCTAAAAATATTGAATAATACTTACTGCTGGGCATTTAATTTGCAAACCTAAGACTGTTTGATTATTTCATGCTTTGTGTCTCACCAGGAGTTTTGGTTTCGTTGGGAATGATACACCGTACAAAGTGAGGGTGTGTGCTTCTTAGATTGGTCATCAGTTTATTTAAATTTTCCTAGAAAACCATAAAGAAGAGATTTGATGAGAAAGTTAGATTTCAGATTGCTTTTTTTGTAATTATATAGAATGAACCTAGGCAGTCTTTTAACTACGACATAAGTCTATGAGGCTTCAGTTGTTTTGTATTTTGAAGGTTTCAAGAGTTCTAGCCTGCCAAATAACCAAAAGGCTAAAGTATTGGGAAGAAATACATATTTCTAAGATATTCATTTATAACACCTAGGTTATGTCTTGTAAACATACTACAAATGCAGTAGCCTTGATGCACAGGAAGTGTTTCTCAGTTGGGAATCAGAAGACAAAAGACTGTGGTCTCTCTCTGCCACTAATGAGCTGCCTGACTCTATAAAATTCCTTTTGTCTTTCTGGGTCTTATCTAAAAATAATTGAACTTATCTCTGAGGTCTCTTTCTTCTCTCTGAGTGCTAATAATTTTTACAGTAGCAGTTTACAGTGGTAATCTAGGTTAGCAATTGTCCTAACTTTTACCATTCCTTCCTTGAGTTTATTATTCCCTGGGACCTCTGAACTTCTTGTTTTGCTTTGCTTTTTGAAGAGCCTAAAATTTTGAGACTATATAACCTTGCATGGATAGATCTTGGTTACCTGAAAATATCTACAGTCTGAAACATATAGGGATGAGTTATTCCAGAGATACAATAATTGATTATGACAGAGGATGATGTTTTACTCAGTCATAGAAAACTCACATACAAATATTTTCCAGTATTTCTTAGGTATGCTCTTAAGAAGTCACTTTTTTTTCCCTCACATCTTGGTTAAACATTAGGAAATGAAGAAAATAAGTAATGTGAGTTTCTAATCTTGAAGACATGAATAAGAACAAGTTGATAAAACAAGAATTTATTTGGTAAAATACTACAAGTGGGTAGTGAGAGAGAAAAAGAACAAACGCATTTTCTTGTTTAGGGCTTAAGTCTATGTGATATCTGCATTTTAGTTTTAAAAAGAATGAGACTTAGCAATACAAATTTTGATAAAGCAGCCATTAGTCCGGACATTTAGTATATTCCCCTTTGGAAGAGCTAGTTCATAAGCCATGTAAGAAAGTCACATTATTTTATAGTAAAATTATTGTTCTTTTAATCATCCCGAGAGATGTTTTCTAGCTTGATCATCCATTTAAATCACTAGGCTTGGCTTTTTAGATGATTTTCAGCTATAATAAAAAATTAAATCCATCTCAGAGGACAAAGATGTGTTTTGGTGGAAGATGTCCTAATGAGTGTATCTCAGGCTTATTCTCAAAGGGCAACATTAGGAGAATAAGAATACAACCTTCCACGGGGACAGCTTTGAAGTTTAGCTATTACGCTTCTTTAGAAATCAGCCTCATTATATAATAAGACAGCTTCTAAGGACATTTTGGCATTGCTGAAAACTTTAGATAATCATAATGAGGAAAAATGGGTAAAAGCATCCATCACTACAGGAGGAGTATTTCTTTGGCTCTACCCTGACAAGAGTGAATATTTGAAGTGATTCCTGTTAACATTTCATTCCCTTATAATTTATTCTAAATCCTATAATTATGGTAATTCATAGAAACTGAATAGATTTTTCAAATTAAATTTGTACTTTACCCTGAAAAGGGCAGACACAGTCTGGAAAGATGATCCCTTCTTCTTAGTACCTTTCTTTGTGCCGCTATCTGAAGTGAAAAGAAAACCCCTCAATTAGAGTAGAATACCAGAGGTTTATATGAACATATGTTAGTTATATGAACATTCTGTGGGAATAGGTTTAATTTAGATTAAGGGCACAGAAAGTACCTGCTTCAGCACTAGCGTATGTAGAGAAGAGACTAGCCAGAGTCTTCATTGCGGACTTCTGGTACAGCCCAACCACAGTGTCATTCAGGGGGTCCTTATTTTTGTCAAGCCAACCAGTGATGTTGTAGTCCACAATGCCAGCGTAGTGAATCAGGGAGAAGTGGGCTTCTGCCTTGCCTTTGACCACCCTGGGCTTCTGGAAGTTGGCAGACTTGCCCAGGTGCTGGTCATACAGCTTGTTCTTGAAGGAGGTGTCTGTTGCCTTGGGGAACATGCACTCCTCTTCCAGGATGGAGAAGATGCCCAGTGGCTGGATTCAGAAAAGTAGATATTTGTGTCAACCTAACTTCCCTCAAAAGATATAGACATGGTGGCTATCATTTGATTGAATTATTAATACCCCCAATTAATGAAATAATCTAAGGTCTTAGCTCATAGAAGTTCCTTTGTTATTACTAGAATGACTTTTCCACCATTCCTTCTCACATTCAATCTGTAGCATGATTTTAATTAAAAGAGTAGCTAGGTACAAACTCCAAATGTCAGCACAGCATGTGGAGGTGACTTGTTAAAATGTTATGTATTTATCAATTTTTTTCCCTATTAAAGGAATAAATCTTTATCAGAGTTTTATTTCGCTTTGAAAAGGCTAACAGGCTTAGAATGATATTGGCTCTATGTGCAATAATTAAACAGTATATATAAATAACCTTATTTAAGATATTTTCTGTACATAATCTCTTTAAAGATGGATTATAAAGTAGCATGTACAGTTTGACTTCTTAAATTCAGGCAGATTAGCTTTCATCAAAGCACTAGCTATATTATTTATATATTAATATTTATTTGGAAAAAATATTTTTATTACTGACATCTTGGCTCATAATGGAGATAGATTAAGAAGCAATGAAGAGGCTGGGCGCAGTGGCTCATGCCTGTAATCTCAGCACTCTGGAAGGCGGGAGGATTGCTTGAGCTCAGGAGTTCGAGACTAGCCTGAGAAAGAGCAAGACCCCATCTCTACTATAAATAGAAAGAAATTAGCCAAACAACTAAAAATAGAAAAAATTAGCTGGGCATGGTGGCACATGCCTGTAGTCCCAGCTACTTGAGAGGCGGAGGCAGGAGGATTGCTTGAGCCCAGGAGTTCGAAGTTGCTGTGACCCAAGCTGACACCATGGCACTCTAGCCCAGGCAACAAAGTGAGACTCTGTCTCAAAAAAATAAAATAAAATAAAATACTAATGAAGGCATTGCTTCCATTGAAGCAGGCCATCTCAAATAGAGTTTTCAGTGCTGTTTTAAAATTGGATTTGACTCAATATCACAATAAAACTTGTTAGAACAAAACTAAACTGTCATATCCATCTTATGTAAAAGTTGAAGAAGTAATTTCAAAATAGTAATTTTCCAGTTTGTTCAGATCTCAAACTATTTGAGGTTACAGTAATACTTTCTAGAATTAAGACATCTGGGAAAGTTATTGTTACAGCCTGACCTTTCTTTAGAAGTCAAACAGACCTACCTTCTCTATGAGCTCGATGCAGGCAGCCAGGTCCATCCCGAAGTCGATGAACGTCCACTCGATGCCTTCCTTCTTGTACTCCTCCTGCTCCAGCACGAACATGTGGTGGTTGAAAAACTGTTGCAGTTTCTCATTGGTGAAATTGATGCACAGCTGCTCCAGGCTGTTAAACTGCACAAAATAGTAGAGATTTCCAATATTATTAATGAATGAGTTTTTATAGTAGTAAAATTCATTACTTAAAAATTCTTTTATTGGAAAAATGTGGAAGATAGTAATGACATACAATTTAAACTAATTTTTGTTCCTTCACAATTCCCAGGAAAAAAATGATTATTATTGACATGAACCTTTCTCATGAATTCTGGGCGTTATATAGGGGTCCAGGTATCAATTAAACAGCAAGCATTCTGGTAGAATTCATCTCCTTTGACCTCTAAGATTACATGGGCAAAAATATAGATTAAAGTACAACCATAGTGCTGTGTGTTAGGGTTCAGATTTAAGGGTAAGGGGGGATATAAGTTATTGAAAGCCTCACTTCTGTTACCATTCCCACTCTCCAATTCAAGATGAAAGTTCCTATTTTCACCTTTGGCTGTCCCATTATTCAGGAAAGCTTATCTTAAGACTGCAGTATAAAGCTCTTGTTTTATAAAGTGAAATGAATATGCCTAATTTCTCTTCTATCCATATCAAACATTTGGCAAATCCCCCTTTTTAGGTGTGTGAAAGTAGGGACCTCATGTATCACAGCAATTGAAGATCCAAAAAGTCTTTATAATATTATGATTTATTCCCTCATTTTATAGATGATGAAGCTGATGCCCTGGAGATAAAATAGTTTGTGTAAGATGAACCTGGAAGGG